TAAAAAATCACGGGCTCGTTTTCTTTTAAATTAACTAAAACATCAGCAAAGGTGTTTTATTTTGGCAAATGCATAGCTCAAGGCAAGTAAATCAGATTTTCTCTAGATTTATTTAGAAAAGCTCATTCATGAATAATTCAACCGTACATGTGCTCTGCTAGCGGCAGAGGTGGGAAGAGTACTAAAATTTCCTACTTAAGTACGAGTACCAATACTTTGACCATTTTTTACTCAAGTACAAGTATAAGTACTTGCCTAAATTTTTACTCAAGTAGAAGTAAAAAGTATCATAATAAAATGTACTCAAAGTAAAAGTTACTTAATTACATTTTTGTCAGCGTAAGGATGGCTACATCTAAGTAGTGCAAAATCACAACGCCAGTTCACAATTCGCTCGTGCACACACACACACACACACACACACACACACACACACACACACACACACACACACACACACACACACACACACACACAGTTTGATGGAGGGATTTCTATCCAATCAGTGAGAACAGGATGTGCACAATGATTGGACAAGTTTTTCTAGAGTTGTACGTTTCAATTGTGATTAAAATTATTCTTTATTTTGAGAAAAAGTAATTTTTTAAGATGCCATCATCAGTGTGTGAGGTATCTCGATGTTTTCATGACAAAACTCTAACATGAGACTGTGCTCTAACCTGTCACATAACATAACAAGCCTGATTCAATTCAGACATTTCAGATGGACCGTATGACAGCTGCTAACGATGGCCCTGCCCTACTTTACCTCTACATTACAGTTCCTTTATCCATGTCCATCCTAGAGCTCCTCTCTGACTTTTAAAGTTAGCAGAGTTCATCCTTGGTAGTGGGTTCACTCACTCATTTAACCAACCACTGAAATCAGTTTGTTCATTGCAGTCCTAAATAATCCTCCAATCATCCAACTGGAATCCTTAAGGGTCCCGTAACGTCCATCCTGTCAGAGCAGGCCTTGGGAGCCCAGTGTTACTAGAACTAATGGTGTCTCCTCACCAGCGTGAGCCTCCAAACTGTGAAGGTTGGTCTCCAAACATGAACTTTAAATTCATGCATTTATCTCCTCTTGTAACACTTTAACATGTTTTAAAAGGCTAGTATCATGATATGTTACACCTCCCAGACCAAAGATCGGTACAATATAAGTGGGGCGACGGTGGCACAGGAGTTAAGAACTCGCCCCGTAATCGGAAGGTTGCAGGTTCGAGCCCCGCTCAGTCTGTCGCTGTTGTTGTGTCCTTTGGCAAGACACTTAACCCACGTTGCCTGCTGGTGGTGGTCGGAGGGACCGGTGGCGCCAGTGCTCGGCAGCCTCGCCTCTGTCAGTGCACCCCAGGGCAGCCGTGGCTACATCGTAGCTCATCCCCACCAGTGTGTGAATGTGTGTGTGAATGGGTGAATGACTGATTGTGTTGTAAAGCGCCTTGGGGGGTTCCAGGACTCTAGAAGGCGCTACATCAAATACAGACCATTTACCATTAAAACATTATCGTAGACACTATTGAGACGTCATTATTTAAATATAAGTTATTTTTGTTCACCATAACTTCAACCAAGAAATAAGATGTATTGATTTGATGAAACCACGCTGTGTCATGCAGTCCTATATGTGTAACACACACACACACACACACACACACACACACACACATGCATAAATGCATACACACACGCTTACACACACTGCAGCATGTTAGAATCATTTGAATGACTAATTTAACTACGCTGAACTGCTTTTATAATACTTCATAATAAATCATCACATATCTGTGGCATCAAGGAGCATCTTCTGAGTTCAAACACAGGGATGGAGCACAATGTTTACACCTGAAACAGTATCAGAATGTTTAACTCACAGAGGCCTGCAGGTCTTCTGTTTTATGAGCAAAGCGCTGAGAACCCGCTTGTTATGAGCGCTAAACGTTATTTTGACGCTGCCGTGCGGAGCGGAAAGGAAACACATTTCAAACACGGAACCGAGTCCGGCTACCGAACGGAGCAGAATTCTGATGACGTCACACCGGTGCGCGAAGGTGCGAGTTCCAACCCACAGGAGAGGAGGGAGACAGGAGGTAAACAGCGAGTGTGGATCACAAGGACAGAACTGAGGTTTTTGAGCAAAACTCGGTAAAGATAGCTGTTTGTCCTCATTATCAAGTGTATACACCCCCCACCCCCCGTTTAGACGTGGCGCTCGTGCAGGTGTCTCTTTCTGTTCCCACGCTGCGACATGCAATATTTTTAATTTATTAAGTCTACAATTTATTTTTACTTAGTAACAGATACGATTTAAAATGTAGCGAATTACAATTGTTTTTTTTTATAAAATACTCAAGTAAAAGTGAAAGTACAGATATTCAAAACGACTAAAAAAGTATACATACACAAAAAAATACTCAATTACAATAACGTGAGTAAATGTAATTCGTTAATTTCCACCTCTGACCTCGGGCATAACAATATTGTTGACCACAGAGATTTGCACATTTACATAAGACTGTTCCTGTACCTGGGTGGCTGAAAGAAGCTGACGCTGACGCGGAAGCTGACGCTGGCTAGTCCCGCGATACTTGCATGAATGCACGTGACGCTCTAGAACGTTGTTACGTTGCAGCTTTGATGACACCACTTTGTGACTTCATCACAGACTACACCACACTCAGCTACCATTCCGAGACATTGTGACTTGCTCTCAGCAGAGAATTAGTTCTCCTGTCTTCAACACTTTGTTTCTTTGTAGCGTTTTACCAAGTGTGTTTTACAGTCAGTATTATTGCTGCGTTTCTATAAGCCATTAATCCAATGGCACAGCAGAAAACCACGGCGACTGCCCAACAGGCCTCCATGGACCAAGTTACACTTCTGAACGAAGTCCACAGGCTGAACGCTCTTTTAAACACCGAGAGAGCTAAATGGTCTCACGAAAACCAAAGAGCTTCTCAACTGGAGCAAGAGCTCGACCAAACTAAGGTGAATCTGGAAAAACAAAAGTGTCTTAAAGAAATGTACATCAATAAGGGCAAAGAGACCAAGAGAGAGCTGGAGCGACTGCAGAAATACAGCAATGCAGAGACTCTCAGCGCAACCAAAATCGCTTCTCAGGTGCAAAGCACCATTAAAAGACACAAGAAAAAGGCTCTTCAGCAGGATTACGAGGAGTTAAAGGTTTCTCACATTACCAAGCAAGAGAAGTTTTTATCTGAGCTTCAGATGGAGAAGGAGAAAAGCCAGAGTCTACAGGAAGAGCTTAACAAGCTTAAAAGCCAGATTCAAGAGATGAGCCTGAAATATGAACGAGATTTGTCTGCAAGTCAAATGGCTGCGTCTTCTCAGCAAGATAAGGCAAGCAGAGAAATCCAGGTCCTCACAGAGAAAATGGAGCAGAAACAGCAACTTATTTTCCAGCTGGGAACCGAGAAAGAGGAAGTCTATCAGACTTTGTCAGACCTGCAAAAAAGTTCTCAGCAGAAGGAAGAGCAACTCCTTGCAGATCTAGAGAAGATTCAGGCGTCTTACCAGGAGCTCAAAAATATCTCTGAGTCTAAGGTTGTTGAGTTAAAACAACAAGCAGAAGCTTTAGAGACGACTCTTCACCAGGAGAGAGCTGCTCATTATCAAGCATGGCTTAAAGCGGAGGCAGAAATTTACAATTTAAGAGATGAAAACAGCGCTTTTCATCAGGAAATGGCTTTTATTACAAAAACGTCCTCCGACAAAGAGGAATGTTTGAAAGCTGATGTTAAACAAATAGAAACTCAGCTCCAAAATCAGGTCCAACTGAACCACGATCTCATCGCCGAGCTGACAGACAGGGATGGGTTTGGACCTCCTAAAAGGAAGCTTGCTCGCCGAGCGTTGCCAAGCCAGGAGCCAACTCCTATAAAGCTCGACCTGGAAAGAGTGACTGAACTCCCGTTACCACCAAACAGCCCAGATGCAGAATCCACTGCAACAATTTCTGAAAACACGGAGACAAAACAAAAATCTTCCATCTGGAAACGAATGAGACACTTTCTGGGACTGAGAAAACCCCAGAGGTGGAAAAAGAAGGACTAATCCAACAAGTGACTAAATTCACTGTCCTTCAAATCTCCTACCCCAAATCTAAAGAAACCCAGAAAATAAACTAGGAAAAAAGCGGGGTTGCATGGTGGAACAGTGGATAGCACTGTTCCTTGGCTGGAAAAGGTTGCAGGTTCAAATCTGAACTGAATCTTTCTTGCTTGGAGTTAGCATATTCTCCCCATGCATACGTGGGTTTACTCCCGGTGCTCGGGTTCCCCCCACACACCAAATACATGAACGCTAGGTTCATTGGAGACTAGAAATTGTCCCTAGTTAGTTATTAGTTATGTGTCCCTATAATAGACTGGAGACGGGTCTAGGGTGTCCCCAGCCTATTATCTGATTCCTGCTGAAACCAGCTCCTTTTGACCCTTTATGGGGAGAAGAGGTTAAGATAATAAACAGATTGACAAGCTAATGGCTAGCACAGGCATAGCTAAACCCTAAAAGTACTACTGGTATCCTAACATATCTCTACTGGCAAAGATTCACTGTGTTTCATGTAAACACAGCTTTCTAAGTTTTGCTGGGAGATAGCTCGGAGAATCCAGAGCTTTTAAATTGGCACCAATAAAAAATAAAAGTTCAGACTACGTTAATTGAAATATAAATATAAGTAAAAAAAACATCAATAAATATATAAAATCCCAACAGGTAGGCTAGGAAAGTCAATAATCCCACGTGATCTGTTTTCCATAGTACGCCGGTTGTTGCAACCATAGGCTGCACAAAAAAAAACAGGACTCCAGCTGGGTTTGGAGAGTGAGGAAACCCACCCAATATGGCGGCTACGCTGTTACATTCTCCAGCACCCGATGGGGCGACTACATCAGAGCAATTCTGGGAGACACAGACCGAATCCGGTGATCTCCTTAACCGTGAATGTTTGAAATTTAGTATGTAGATCTTTAGTTTGTCATTTGTAGTTTAGTTTGTTTATAGTTATTGAGCTGAGGGCCATTTTTTACTTTTTATTTTTATTTTTTTGCTTTAATTAACAGTTTTCATATTTAAATTCAGGTTAGTGTTTTTACACTCCCTCATATATAAGATAAACTCATATAAACTTGTATATATAAACCTTTTGTAAAATAATACATTCATACCATCAGTAGACACCTCATTATTTTACTCACACTGCTTATTTTTCACTATAGATAAACTAGGGCTGAACGATTTTAGGAAAAGATTGAATTGCAATTTTTCTAGCAGAAATTGCAATTTCGGTTCAATTTACAATTTTCTGCAAGCAAATGTCCAACATTAGCCTGCCAAGCCATCGTGTACAGGTCCTTCTAAAAAAAATAGCATATTGTGATAAAGTTCATTATTTTCTGTAATGTCCTGATAAACATTCGACTTTCATATATATTAGATTCATTACACACAACTGAAGTAGTTCAAGCCTTTTATTGTTTCTAATATTGATGATGTTGGCATACAGCTCATGAAAACCCAAAATTCCCATCTCAAAAAAGTAGCATATCATGAAAAGGTTCTCTAAATGAGCTATTAACCTAATCATCTGAATCAACTAAAGCCTCAACACCTGCAAAAGATTCCTGAGGCCTTTAAAAACTCCCAGCCTGGTGTCGTGTGCCAGGGTGAGTGCTCCTCTCATTTTTGTTCCATCTTTGAGCTGCTGTGTTTCAAGAGAGGGAGGCTCCAGCTGCAGCTCATGAACAATCAGCGGGTCCAGCTATAACAGGAGGAGGAGAACACATCTTGACGCCGACAGGTACAACTCAGACTGTCCCAACCGCAGCCCCAGGCCCCCGCTGCGGAGCCTCCGCTCGCCGGCCCCGTTCCTCCTGCAGCTCCCAGGTCGGCAGCAGCAGCCACCCCGGAAGTCACCTATCTCTGTCCAGCCTCCTCACCGCCATCACCGACGTCCAGTGGTGAGTTTGATGACTGTTACAGTTTTCTGCTACAATGTCGGCTCGTTTTCGAGGGCTCACCAGGAGGCTTTTCTTCGGACTCAGTCAAGATCTCATGCATAGAAGGATTACTTCGTGGGAGAGCCCTAAGATGGGCTGAGGTGAAGAGTCACTGTACTACTTTTCTGTCGGGACTTCTGGAGGACTTTTTGACTGATTTTAAACGAACTTTTGGCAGTACTGAGTCTTTTAAGGACATCAGTAAAAGACTGTGGAGTTTATCGCAGGGGCGGAGATCTGTTGCTGACATGTCTGTGGAGTTTAGAACCCTGGCGGCTCTGTCATCCTGGCTCGAGGAAGCCCTCCTCGCTGCCTTCACAGAGTCCCTCAACGACCGAGTTCGGAACCAGCTGGCACTGTGCCCAGAACCCCAGTCGCTGGAGGAACTCATCCGCCTGGCTATTTCTATTGGTAAACGCCAGCATGAACTGCGGTACCAGAACCTTCCCCACATTGGACCGTCACCATGAGTCGGGCACTCGGCCCTCCGCGGAGCCAACCACCATGGAGGAACCCATGCAGATGGGAAGGACACGCCTCAGCCGGGAGGAGAGGTCACATCGGGGAGCCAGGACGCTTTGCTAGAGCCTGTCTGGCTCTGTTAAAAGGCAGAGCCCACCAGTAAAGACAAGACTACTGGTGGGCAGTGTTGGGAACGTTACTTTAAAAAAGTAATTAGTTATAGTTACTGATTACTTTGTCAAAAAAGTAACTCAGTTACTGAGTTACAACATCATAAAAGTAACTAATTACCAACAAAAGTAACTACTTACTTTTTTCATTAAAGAATGCAAGAATTACTACAATAGTGAAATATAAATGACTAATGACTGGAACATAATAAAATGTATGTCCAAATGTTTTTTATAAACCTGAATAATTTCAATAAATAAGCACTTAACAGGAGGAACTACTAATAGGAACATTACACTTATCTAGACTATTAAAAGGTCACTGTGTGATATTTAACAAGACCCCAATCAGCTAAAATTTAAAATTGCAAATAGAAACACCTGTAAAGGTTTCCGAGCCTTTAAATGGTATCTCGGTCTAGTTAAATTACAGAAATAAATGTAATTTTGCACAGTATTCTAATTTTTCCAGCTTCACATAATTGTGTGTTTTAGCAGCATTTCTGTTGCTGGTAATCTAGTAACGGTTAAATAAATAAATAAATAAATATCCTTTAAAATGACACTAGAAGAGGCACAAATCTGATGGAGGACTTTAATGTACTAACGTGGGTCAGACCCAACCACAGAAGAGCTGAAGCTGGATGGTGAACACACACAGGTAGTTCTGATAACACCTGAGCTCCATGACGTTTGAGACTGATGCATCAGTGTTACAGCGGGGCTAAAGACATGATCAGAAACAGGTTACAGCTGGATGATCTAGGAAGGTAGAAGATCAGGACGTCTGAGCGGTGAACAGGTGAGCGGACCGATCGGGACGTCCCGCTGTCACGCTAAGAAGG